AACAGCAACAACAGACCACAATAAGCATAAATGGGAAGAACCTGAAAGAAACAACCTCCTTCACCTACCTGGGAAGCATCGTCTCAACTACAGGCGGAACTGACGAAGACATCAAAGCCAGAATCGGAAAAGCAAGACAAGCTTTCATTACTCTCAAATCTGTGTGGAGGTCAACAGCAATCAGCATCAAAAATAAGATCCGGATTTTCAACTCCAATGTGAAGTCAGTGCTACTATACGGATCAGAGACTTGGCGAGTCATAAAGAGCATCTCAAACAAACTTCAAAGCTTCATTAACAACTGTCTCCGCTCAATACTCAAGATCAGATGGCCAGAAAAGATCAGCAACAGGGATCTCTGGGAGCGAACCAATCAGGAACCGATTGTGAAACAAATAGGCAGAAAGAAATGGAGATGGATTGGCCATACGCTGAGGAAACCATCAAGTGACATCACTAGACAAGCCCTCGAGTGGAACCCGAAAGGGAGGCGGCGAGTTGGTCGTCCAAGGGTGACTTGGAGGAGGTCATGTGAAGAGGAGATGAAAGCATGTGGGCAGACCTGGAGCAGGGTGAAAAAGTTGTCAGAAAACCGAAGTCAATGGAGGTGCGCAGCTGAAGCCCTATGTTCCTCTAGGAACTAAAGGATACAATAATAATAATAATAATTATAGATTATTGTTAGCAGAGAAACACAGTCTTCTGATTGATTATTTCTCCTAGAAAGTTGATCTTGCATCTCTTTGTAGCTGTTTCTTGAATGTCAGATCATCTATATGTTAACTGTATCCGCCTACACAAAGCCTTTGTTCTCATTTTTCTCACGACCAATATTGGGGGCATAAACATTGACGTAAGTTAGTGTCCACCAATTTTGGCTAACAGCCAGCTCTCACCACAATAGTAATACTGAAAATGAAAAATTCTTCAGTTCACTAGACAAAGAAACTGTTGGACATCATGGTATAACTTTTTACGAGATACAGCGATACAGTATTATTTACTGATGATGTTTCGGGTACAACTTAATCATAATAATAATAGTCATGAGAGCTTTATTCTGAAAAACTCATTTATACTACAATAGAGAATTTTCAGCGAGTTTCATTGAAAGGTACTTACTTCTCAGGCAAAATCTTCCAAACAACATAATAATCTATAGTACTCCATCTGACGCAATATTGTCCCACCCCAAGCTCTTTCTCCAGTACTACTACACAATCCCCTTCGTCTATTTCGTCCACAAATCTACAGATCTTAATAGAAATTTATTTGAAACAGTGTGCGAGAGTATGAATTGTGACTGATTTTGGTAATTAGATCAACATAACAATCTGAAACAGAGTAAGCGTTTTATGAACAGAAAATTTAGGTAGCCCAGGCTATTAAGCCAACCGCCTGAAACAAAGTCATATCGAGATGCTGACATAACTCTCAGATTTCGTTTCGCCTTTGTTGGTAGTGATATTTCCCAAATCTGTGAGTTTGTAGGTTTAGATGTCAACCTAATCCCTCCTTTATTGGGAATCCCATGTAGGTTCTCGAACATCCCTCTCTCATGTGCCAACACTATGAATGCCTTGAATTCCCTTATGTTTGAGTTATGGTCATTATTTTCACTGCTAGTTTTTCTTTCATTGTGGACTTTCTTCAACTTCCTAGTGGTTTTATGGGATACATATTTAGCACAATGATCTATCTCTCTGTTTCATTTCATTCTGACGCAATGTTTGGCATTGCTGTTCGATTTGTTAGGCACTTAAGTAAGCCTGTCTTAACGGAAAACTAATGACCTGGCTTAAACAGCGTTCGTTTTATTTTGTAATATAACATAGTTAACTCTCCTTGTTCATTTTCTAGCTCCACTGTTAATTTTATTCTATCTACTATTGGGTTTATGTGCGTGAAGAAACTAGAGATATGTCCTGTTTTTCATTTCGTGAGTGTCATCCATATATTTTCATCATTCCTTTGGATTAGGATTAAATGTTTTAAGGGTTGCATTTTTTTCTCAACCATTCAGAAAGATATCTACTGCCATTGGGGATATTCGTGGTTCCATTACTATCTCCTCTGGTTATCTTTTTATCTTGCCATGTAATTTGAACACATTAGATGTGTGATATGACTGAAATTCGCGAATAATTTACTCAGTGTGTAGCTTTGTTTTATGAGTGAATTCAAGACCGTCAAGTAGATCTTTTCTGATTGCTTTTAAATGTACATTGATTAGTTTAAAAGTTTAAAGACTAGCTATATCAAAACTAATCATTTTCTCATTATTTTCTATTTGAATGTTGCTACTTAACTTCTCTTTCATTTTACATGAATTGGTTAGTCTTAAGTTCCAGTGATTTACGATGGGACCTAATATTGATAACTCATAAGAAAAGGTATTTCTAAAATTGACTATCAGTTTTATATGATAACCTGATCTGTATATCATCACAGTATCACATGAAGAGATTAAGAAGCGCGTAGTTCTGGTGATGAATATGATTCGGGAAATCCAATGTCGCTTTAGTATTTCGGATAGAACTGTCAGTTTGTAGGTGATATGTATCCACATATATATTTATGTGTGTGTGTATGTTGGTCTCTCTTTCTGTTTGCTCGCTTAGTCTGTGACCATTTCACTGGTATGAACTTGTCTCCTTTATCAATGTATATTCTCCTTATATTATATTATATATAATATGAGTGTTTGTTGACAGTCCGTTGCTTGGTGACATATATCCATATATGGTTGTTCACATGTCTGCTATATTCGCTATGTATATTTGGATCGACACTCCAATATAATTAGCCATTCATGTTAAGACTGTCTAATGATTTTTCCCACGCTTTGTCTGGAACATTTATATATATTCGCATTCACAATTTGTGTGAACTACTTTACAACTACTTTACTTACTTACCACCTTGGTGTGAGACCACTTATTTTCGTCTCCTTGTGTTTGGACAATAGAAGTATCATCGCAAACCTAGTGGTCTTCTGATTTCCGCCTTCTTGCGTCAGGACTATTAATTTCTCGACCAGTCCATAACAATAACTTAGCGACGAGTACATAACAGTAGGTCTAAATGAATAAATTCAATGCCTACAACCAATAATGCGGAATGACAAAAGGATAAGCAATGTATATTCAACAAGTCTTGTCTAACTAAGCAAATATACCATTGTAAGCTCTTCTTAGGCTGTCAGACCTACAGCACATTTGGAAAGGAAAAGGCATTCTTTAAACTAGTAATGATTATGTGCTTTGTTCCAAAACAGCGCTAATGTTATAGTGTGGAATTTTCAGCATTTGGCAAATTACTGCATCTAATTCCATCGAATAACATTGAAAACAAATACAAAAATAATGTTACACGATTGTTGGCGACGGTTTCTATTTGATGTTTGTAGTGACAGTAGGATCATAAACATAAATGAGAAAGGTGAAATAACGGTAATGATGTTTGCAGTTAAGATTATCAGTTAATTATATCGAACAACATTTGAAAACAATTTTAGGAACAATATTGCAGAATGGGTAATTAAGGTTCTGATATGGTAATTGTAGTGACAGTGAAGTCATATGCATATATATACAAAAACATTATAAATAATAATAAGGTTAGTAGTCAATATTGTTCAGTTAAATTGAGGTATTGTCACCATAGATTACAAACAGAGGATAATGAAATAGCCGATTATTAAGATAACATCATAATAATTCATAAAAACCTGATTTGGGTACAGAGGTATTTTCAACGTCTTTCAAAGTAGCATGTACATTATTACTGAAAAATGAAGTATTGAATGTGTTTGTAAATGGGTAACAGAAAATATCAGCACATCCGCTGAGGACAACAGCCGGTAAACCATCAAGACCCGACTCTCTGGAGATTTTAGAGATTCCAGACACTTCAGGACATCAAAAGTGTTGAAACCATGAAAGTCACTGGCGTTTTTATCCGTCATATTGGAAACATAAGCATCACTAGAAGAGCATATGAAGGATTTGTTGGGAATATTTATATCAACAGAGGGGACATTAATACATCGCTTACCAGGATCTGTAATATCACAGAAAAGTTTCCGGCTATTCGGGCTCCCGATTTCCATCCTGTGGGACTATATTAAAGATTATGATTGAACACTGGGTAGTTAACAATTAGTTTCATGCGTTTGATCCTATATTTGGTGCAGACAGCAGTTCAGAACCAACCATCTGATGACAATTCACTGTGATCTTAAGTCACCTGGCATAGTGACCACTTTGCAAACTTCCGCGATAGAATTGAGTCTGCTTCAAACAAGGGACTAAATGCAAGACAATAGTTGCCTGCTACACTTGTACATCACTTGGTTACTTCATTATTTATGTACATACAACTAATTGATAAGATTAGTTCATAGTAAATGACTTTCGATGACAAGAAAATTCCAGGTGATTATTAAAGATATTCCACTAATCTAAATATAGCAAAAATATAAAGCCAACTAATTGCAAAACAGATGAGTAGAGGTATTGACTAAATTTACGCATAGTTAAATGAATGCAATGTGATAGAGCTAGGAGACTTTTATTTATGTACATGTGGATGGTTCCCGTTGTGACAAAACGTACATGGATTTAGAGTATCCAGTAGCAATAGTCACCTAGGTACATTGATAAGGCTGTGGTGAGTATTCAAATGGAAAAATAATTATTTTGTACTGTATTATTATAAAAAACTTCTGCCTAGGACAAAAAATAGGTTACGAAGAGTTCAGGCCTCTTAACTATGCATAAAAGATGAATGTCTGTGTCACTGATTCTTATCTCCACCAAAGATTAATAGGGATATCACAGCTGGTAAACAGAAAAAGTCTAAAAAGTTATTTACATTTTATTTCTCTTTTATTTGGCCATTTTACAGATTACACAATGGAACTGAAGAGCGCAGAAGTCGTTATTTTTGCAATTCCGACTGCCTTAAGGTGGATAATTGACAACTTACTAATCAAAGTAATGCTACCCTTTGGAATTTTATTTCTAATTGTATATATTGGAATATACTATCAGAAAAAGTCAGAACTTCGCAGGAAGTTGTCACGTAAACAACAACTGTTAATCCAACGAATGGATAATTTGAGAAAACACCTTTCAACACTGAACCCTGAATTGTTATCACTTACAGATCTCAGTTTGGAAACACTACAACAACAATTGATTGAAGGCAAATTTACTCCAGTTGATTTATTGCATGCCTACCAAATGAAAGCTTTACGACTACATGACGCAGGGAATTCAGGTGTATGTGAATTTTTAGAGGAAGCAGAACAACTGGCTGTGAATCTAGTGAATTCAAATCGTCTATCCAAAAACAAACAAACTTTGGTTGGAATACCAATCAGCATAAAAGAATTGTGTTTAACTAAGGGGTACGATACGACATTTGGTTTAATCAAACGGTGTAATCAACCTTCAGATGAAGATTGTTGTATTTTGAAAGTACTTAAACATGAAGGAGCTATACCATTTGTTCTGACAGCACTTCTCAAACAGCCTTATCACTCAGCGGAATAAATCCTGTATTCGGTGATTTGTCCAACCCTTACTCTTCAAATCATGAAACAGGTGGCAGTTCAAGTGGTGAAGGAGTACTTTTGGCATTAAAGGGTTCACCGGTAGGAATTGGAACGGATTTAGGTGGAAGTGTCAGGATTCCTTCGGTATTTTGTGGTCTTGCAGGGTTGAAACCAACCTCCGGTCGTTTGAGCAATCAAGGTCTAGCCACGCTAGGTTATAAGAAGTCTGTCTCTCTACGAGTGTCTGCGGGTCCAATGGGTAAGCGAGTGGATGATTTAGCGAAACTTATGCGCACACTTCTTACACCTAAAATGTTCGAGCTGGATCCTTCAGTACCACCTTTGGTTTTTAATGAAATAATCTATGAGGGCAGAGACAAAACAAATTTGTGTATAGGATATTATGAAGCTCTAGATGATCCATCTCTTATTGCTACCGTCCCAAGTATTCGTAGAGCAATACGTGAATCAGTCAGTGTTTTGAAGCGAAATGGTCACCAAGTCGTGCCTTTCAATGTACCAAAACCAAAGTGGGCAAATGAGTTGGGTATGAAAGCGATGGCTATTGATGATAAATATAATTTGCTCAGGGAACTGTTTGCGGAGCCATTGAATGAGCACACCAAATGGCTAAATATAATCCCTCGTGTACCACACTGTTTAAAAGTTTTGGTAGATAACCTCATGAAACTTGTCATTGGTAAACCAGCAGCAGTTACTGAATACTTGGATGGAGCTAGAGGAGAGAAGGAGGTACTAAATTTGATTTCAGATATTGAGGAGTATCGACGTGAGTTTCAGAGAGCTATGGAAGAAGCTGGTGATCTTGATGCAATCATCTGTCCAGTGTTTCCATTTCCAGCCTTCCCTAAGTCAGCTAAATCCCTCTTCGTTACACCTGCTATTGCTTATACAACTTTGTATAACACGTTAAATTATCCTGCTGGAACAGTTTCAATGGGTCATGTAAATAGAGATGACGTGGAGGAATCAAAACACTGGCCGAAAACTATAAGAGATCTGGAGACCGTTTTCACTCTGAGGTATTCAAACATCAAGAGTTAAGTGAAGGACTACCAATCGGTGTGCAAATTGTAGGTAAACCTTGGAAAGAAGAAGTTGTTCTACGCATTATGAAGGAGTTAGAAACACATCGAATACAGAGTGAATGACTGAAAATATTTTTCATTTAGTCTATCCGAAAGTATGAAAGATTTGAAAATTAAATTTTTTTTCATCGAAGCTACTTTTAAGTAAGATAACTGTTATTACTTCATTTTCTAACCACTTCAAATGAGTGCATTATTGATATGCAAAAACAAACAATATTTTCGCTTACTTTAAAAATATTATTCACTAATTTCTTCAATCATTTTGTTATGTATTATTATAAATATTCAACTCCAAATACCCCAGTGTTTATTTGTGTTAAATTTGAATCTCATTAACTCCAGTGAAACAAATTTCCCTTTTCTAGGATGTAATTAGCATAAAACGCCTTACTTAGTAGTTATCACTAAAACTGGAATGGTGCATCCTGTGGTTATGACTGGGTTACTCAGTATGAATAAAAGACACTACATAACGGAACATTCTTTGTGGATAAGCGCACTCCTAAAGATCGTGTAGAATAAAGCCCGTAGGACGCAAATTGAAAAAGTGAAACTTTCAATATGAAGTCGGATTTCCAGGTTGGCCAAACAGCTGCCTCTAGATATGATAGCCTCGACAACTGTCTCAGTGAAGTCATGTTAAAGAATATATCTAGAGTGATGATTTTCAGTTACTCATCGACCAGCCATACACTCAGTCATACTATTTTATTTGCTTTCTTGATTAGTGTTATGTACTCGTCGAGTAGTTGATAGTCCTGACTCAAAAAAGGGAAAATCAGAAGACCAATAGGTTTACGATGATACTTGTATTTTCCAGACAAGGAAAGTAAATGTCACACAAGAGTGTGAGTGAAATGCAACGAATGTACGAACGTGAAAAGAAGAAAAATGTATATAAAGTGTACAATGCAAATTATATATGAAAATGGCTAATACACATGAACCAATAGACAGTCATCTTACCATGATTGGTTGTAATGTAATATGATAACCAGGTCATACATGCTTATTAAGTTAGTGGATAAACAAAAGCATATTGTCAGTTATAATGGAATATCGATCCATATACACATAGCAAAATATAACAGACTGTCAAAAACAAACACACACATCATGTGACTACATATCAATTACCATTCTTGATGATAAGCAGGTCGCTTATTGAAATCTGAATACTTTCACCTAGAGTGCCTTAATTTGTAAGTGGCATGTTTGACTCTGTTGTTTGGATGTAGATGTGATGAAGTAGACCACTTCTTGAATGTTTCAATAACTGAATTCGCTCGTTCAACCTGATTATTCATGTGTTAGCATTCTGAAAAGGTAGAGTTTCACCTACAGTAGTTCAACAAAACTTCAAGTCATTTTTAGCACAAAATTTCTGAAAATTAAACTATCCATGAAATCTCATGAGTGTTTGTTCTGTTCTGATTCCTGTGGTTGACTGGAAAGACTGGCAGTGTAAATGTTTAGCACAATATTGTGCTGAACATTATTATCAGTTGAATAGGCTTCTTTGTTGAGACTAGCATGTGAATGAATAGCTTGTTGATTCACTTTTCTTGTTACACTAAAAATTCAAGGTGAGTGCTGACTGAATTTTCCGCATTTCAGTTGAGGTCATATCTGTAATTAACCACTTAGAACCGCTAGAACTTCTCAGGCATTTAGAGTGATGAAGGAAACATCTCACCCTATTACGAGATTAGACATTCTCAAAGACAACCTCGACAGGATCATTTTATAATTTTCAGTGAAGAAATAAACTTGAAGATGTTGCAAGATTTAGTGAAGTATAGAAGGTTAGGCATTGTAACACTTTTATTAAATGGAGCCATATTAGTTACATACTTTCAAGTGGTGGGTTTTTGGGGTAACGAATTTATGCCTAGGTAGTAGTCAAGATAACAAGAGATACAAGTAAATTTGGAAGATTTCTTGTTAACAGTGTTACTGATACAATATTCCTACTTCGGATTTACAATGTTTTGTGTGTGTTGGAGATGTTTTTTCTTCTCTCGTGAACTTTCTTATTTGGTCACCGATGCTTCCTGTTCGTATTTTCCAATACTGATAACCAATGCAACAGCAGGCTTTCTACTCATGTAACACCTACTAACGACAACGCACTAAATTTTACTAAGACGTTTTCTTAAAAGTAATACACACTACAGTAGGAAGGTGAAACACGTGCCTTGTTGTTACCTCCATAACGAAATAAGATGAGAGCAGCTATTTTGACCGTAATACTCCTAGTTCCAGCATATCTTACTGCTACGATGTTATGAATGTCGCCACTTTTATTCCTGTAATATGTAGAGTTGGAATAGGCGCATCAAGCTGGACACAAATGCAGTAATCACGAATATCGCTAGTCTAACGCCAACAACATTATATGACAGCCAGCTGATTACCCTACCTGCTCACTTGGGTGAGGACACAAACGACTTGAGTCGGAAAGTATATTTCCGTATCAGCGACAGTATATTTACAAAAGGAAACAGTGATACATGTATATAATTCTACTACCTTTGAGATATATGTTAAAGAAAAACGAGAACCGCGGGAATCGATTTTCGAAGTCTTTTACTTACAGTTGCACGAATACGAACAATAAACAGTGTTCCAAACGTCATCCAGTGAATAATACGAAAGAGATAACTTCGTCGTTTTATTCTGATCATGATTTTTTTCCTTATCTGTCGAGTGTTTATCTAATCATACTTGCGCAAAGACATTAAAACTGAAACATTTAATGTACAATTATCATACCTCTTTTTGGGCCATTAGGCATTTACTCAGTAATTCGTTTAAACAGTTTTCGGTGTTAGTGTTATTTCATTATTTGTGATAGGTGGTTTAATTACGAGACTTTCGCTGTTTTTATAGACAACACATTCAGCGTGAACTTCAACAGAAACTGAACTTTCAAATCCTCCATGAATTTATTAACTGTCGCTTTAGGTGAATTTGAAGTTGATTGATTGTCTTTGGAGTTCCTAACAAAAGATGATTCAGCTTTCAAAGTGGGCTTTTATTTCCAGGCTCTTTTCAGTTAGGTCCTCATCATCGGCTGGCTCTACACTCGTATACAGTATTTTTAACATCAAAATTAACTACCAATCAAGTGGTTATTTTAGTTAATCAGTATCATGTGTAGAGAGGGTGAAATTAAGAGGTTGAAAGTCATCAAAACTACTAACTAATAGATGTTAGTAACAAGATATTTAAGTCTGAGAGGATGGATGGAAATTAATTACGGAAATCAAGATAAGTTGATTCTTAAGCGTTGGCGATAACTTGTTACACAACCAAGAAATTTGTAAAATAATGATGACTAAGAAGAATAGGATGACTCAGAAGAATTACGTAAAATACAAAAAGTTAATAGAACTAGCTAGAATTGTAGGAATGGTAAAAATTAACAAAGTCAAAAGATAGTCACAAAGCCAGGGGAAAGATCGTTTTTAAAAATTTAGTACGTATTATGTAGTTGGCCATAGCAAAGTAGAGGGCTGTACAAATTTCTTTTGAACACACAGATCCTACTTGTTCGACGAATTTTCATTTCCTCTGATGTATGTAAAAGTTGTACTCGCAGACTATGAGGGATGATGGATAATTTACGTTAAATAACTTTAAAAACTTTGCTAGATTTGACTTTATATCCAGTATCGACGACATGATCCAGTATTTAGCTGCATATAGCTTTGTTCGGACCTTTGCCGAACAAAGATAGGAGGTGCTCAGAAATTCGACGATGAATCTGCCTGATCGTACGCCCCATGTAACTAGCTCCACACGGACACTTACACTGGTAATTACACATGGAAGAGGCGAAACAGGGTAATTTGTCTTTATTTCTTGAACTGAGTATTGTTTGGATAGTGAATATACAGAATAGCTTAGCTGCGTCGAAAGTCCTTTTGAAGGACCTTAGAAAACGTCGTAATAAGATCATGCTTTTGACATCATCCGTGAAGTGTAATCTCAGGAAGACTGAGTTTTCAGGACCAGTCGATACCTTCGAATTTTACTTTCTGAGATCATGTGTTTGTTTAAGAATTTAGTTGGATATCCGTTTCTAATTAGTAGATGGCCAATATTACCGAGTTCGTCGTTCAGTGTCTGATTTGAACAGATAACTATATCCCGGTCAACTAGACATCTAACTAGATTACGTTTGTTTTGTAGAGGTACGAAGCTTAGAAGGTGAGTATATTGTCCATGTATTTCTTCATGAAGCTGTGCTAAACAAACTACACGTCCACCTTTCATACTTCTTGTAGAATATATGTATATCAAAATGCTGTTTATTAAATTTCGATTTCATCCAAATTAAGCTACGAAATATAAATCCTAGGTGGATTAAAAGTCGCCTGAGATTTCGAATCCCTTTATAAGCAATGTTATGTATGCGAATAATTCTACTTAATAAACAAATTACCCAAATATCCAACAAATTTAGCTACAATGATTGTGTGATTGTTTTTATGCAACGTGAAATTAGTAGTTTAGACAAAGCAATGAGAAGATGTAATTTGTTTGAATCGCGTAATGTATTCGTGCAACACATTTCAAACAATCTGACCACACACAGACCTGTCAGAGGAGCATAGATGAAATTAAGAAGGAGGTAAGAGGTGAGAAAATAGACTTAGGTCAAGTTGAAAGGACATATTGAAGGTCAAAATAACAATTGTGATGACTAAACCAAATGAGAGAGGTAACAGTACATCTACTATGGTATCGGAACAAAGTTTACCATGGAAAGTTTAGTGTGATGACGAATTGTATATGAACGCATGAAGGTGGTTTAGACTTTCGAATTGACAGTTAGGGCTTCCACAAACTTCAGGATACAGCCCAAACACATTTTATCTATAGGTTAATAGGACGTGTAAACATGTCCTGTCTCTACAATAGGTTTCGCTATAGAGGAGCTTTGTC